GGGGAGCACGGCAGCATACAGGCTGGCGAGGTCCTGGAGAAGGAGCTGAGAGTTCTACGTCTTGATTGACAGGTAGTAGAAGTGAATGTCACACTACCTTGAGCATCTGAGACTTCAAAACCCACCCCCTCATTTGCACACTTCCTGCAGCAAGATCATACCTAATTCCAACAAGGCCACACCTCCTAATAGTGTCACTCACTATGGGCCAACCATTCAAATGCATTCAAGCATTCAAAAGTCTATGGGGGCCATTCAAACCACCACATACATCATCATCAGAACAGTCGAAGTTTGTGTATAGTAAACAGATCTGTGGTTGCCAGGAGGAAGAGAAGAGTGGCCAGGCAAAGATACTATTGTGTGAGATACTAAGATGGTCACACTGTGAATGTCATTAGCCTTTGTGAGACTGCATAGATGGATAATACAAGAGTGACCCCAATGTAAACTTTAGACTTGGGGTGACAATGATGTGTCCGTATAGATTTCACTGGTTCTAACAAATGTCCCACTGTGATGCACAGTATCAATAGCAGAGCAGTTCCTGTGTGGGAATAGAGGGTACAGAGAAACTCTCTGTACTTTCAATTCAGCTTTGACATGAACCTAAAACCCTCTCAAAACTAAATTTCATTAATTAAAATGCCTTTTATTGAATTGTTAGAAATACAAAGCTGTATTTTGCCAAATTAAAAATAATTATTTTTTTTTGAATCATGGCACAACTAATTAACTTTCAGGTAACATAATTTGACATGAGAATTCACAGTGTCTTTCCACATTTATATTGAAGCTAAATATAATTCAATAAAGTACTTATTATGGATTCTACTGCCAGTCACTTTGACAAGAACTATTGAGAAATATTAATCTTAAAATACATAGTTCAGAGATGTTGGATCATCTTTATTCATGAGATTATGTTCCCAGAAACAGTCTGAGTTCCATTTCTACAGTGTATGCTGCCCTGCATCCCCTCCCCACATTTGCAGCCCTTGTTCCCTTCCTCGGCTGAAGAGCCCCACATCCTGGCGGATGGTTTGCAATATACACACACAGTGATCCTCAGCGGCTTCAGATATGAACCCAGAGTGAACACGGTTTTTAATTCTTATGTTACTTTTAAACCATTCCAAGTAAGGATAATAATTGTCCTACCAAACCAATATCCACAAGGAGAGATTTGAAGACCTGACAGTTATCTGATGTTTTATAAGGGTGAGAGAACATAACTTTCCTTTTTCAATTCTTACCTAACTTCTCCCTAGATTCAGGAGACATTTTCTTGACATGCCTTCTGCAGCGCAGCGTGGACGGCACCTGTTTTCCAAATCATAGGGCCTCTGAAACCTTTTCCTTCTTATTTTCTTCTCTGTGCTTCACTTGTGAATGTGGCAGGGCAATTGTTTGTCATTTGTTTGGCTGGGTCTAAGATAGAATATCACTCTGTAGCCTAGGCTGGTCTCCACTCCCAATCCTCCCAAGTGCTGGGACCACAGGCAGGGGCCATTGTGCCAGGCACTTTATGGTCAGTGAGCGTGGATTACGGCTGCAGTGGAAGCTCTTGCAAAGAACCAGTCTATCTGTTTGCTCATTTGAAGGTTTCTGGATGAGAGTAGTAACTCAGGAATCCAATGCCATTATTTTTTCCTCTCCAATCCCCTTTTATAGTCTGGGGAGCTCTGTGGATACTTTTCCGGAGGTTCCCACTCTAGAAGAAAAAAAGCTTGCCTATTTAAACAGCTTCCATTGGGCTATGCCTTAAATGAGACTGAGTCAACCAATGAATGACCAGACAAAATTAGATAGATAGATAGATAGATAGATAGATGATAAATAGATCGATAACAGGTAGATGATGAAGAAGATAGTTAAATAGGTGACAGATAGATAGATGTTAGATAATAGATAGATGATGATGATAGGTAAATAAGTAATAGGTGATAGATAGATAGATAGATAGATGATAAATAGATAGATAATAGGTAGATGATGAAGAAGATAGTTAAATAGGTGACAGATAGATGATAGATAGATAGATAGATGATCGATACATATATACAAACAAATGCATATATTGATAGGAAATAGATGATTGGGAGCTAGATTAGGTATATGATAGACGAATAAGTAACAGCAAGATGATAGACAGATGATGATAAATCGATGGTAGCTAGCTAGCTAACTAGATAGACAGACAGACAGACAGACAGACAGACAGACAGACAGATTGACAGACAGGCAAATTAAAAACTAGTAGAGGAGCTTCATGGAGCCCGTGAGACACTTCCGGTGGAATCGCACTGGACTGTTACAATAAAAGCTCCTTCAGGAGCCCAGCCTGTCGTTTTCATCATATGAATACTTCCATCAAGATGCTTTAAACGCTAAACCTCTCCCCTTTCCACAGGCTGGTTTAATCCAGAGACTTTAACAGATGGTGTTGCTTGCAGTGTGTCCCTGCCCCTTGGGGCTGGACAGGACTCCTGCCCAAGGACCATCAAAGACCTGCCAGAGGCTTATGGCTTAAGTACTTCAGAATAACCCAGCCCTGACATTTGGCGGGTCTCCAGGGCGTTCAGGGTCAAAGGAAGAATGCGTAATCAAAACTCATCCGAAGCCTGTAGAGGAGGGCCTTTCAATTAAAGCTTTTAATGGTTTTGCAAGAGACCCACAGTCATTTTCAACACTCGCTTTGAGGGCAAGCAGGCAAACCAGCAAAAGGCTCACCCAGCTCTCAGAAGACACTATGAGAACCCAGGCATCCCTCCCTGACCAGAGGACTTCTGAGGTGCCTGGCAGAGGCTTGGATTGCGGAGCACTGAGAAAAATTGACTTAATTAAACAAACACATTTCTGTTGTTTACAGCGGGGATTGCTCCTTTATAAGGCAGACGAGAAAGAGAGAAAATTGAGGTGTGAAAAGAGAAAGAAGTCCCTTATTGTGGACCTAGCTGGCAGTTAGAAACTTTTTCTTCTTTTGGTTTTTCAAGACTGGGTTTTTCTGTGTAGCTCTGGCTGTCCTGGAACTTGCTTCGTAGACTGGCTGACCTCAGACTCACTGAGATTGGCCTGCCTCTTCCTCCCAAATGCTGGGATTAAAGGTGTGCGCCACCACTACCTGGAAGTTAGAAACCTTAACACAACAGATACACGTGAAATTGTTACACTGATAGGGCTTGTCCCATACTCAGAGCAGGATGGGAAAGCATGCTAGGGGGCTCCAGGGATGTCTCAAAGGTTAAACTCTTACTACTCTTGCAGAGGACCTGGATCCAGTTCCCAGCACCCCTCTCAAAACCACCTGTGACTTCAGTACCCGGGACTCTAACGCCCTCTATGGACTCAGTGAGCGCTCTGCACACATACACACATTCAGGTGTGGAACTAAAATGACTCCTTAAAAGCCAACATCAACAAGCCAGAGCCAGGCGTAGTGAGTGGCACAAGCTCTTAGTCTCAGCACACGTGAGGCAGAGACAAGAGGATCTCTGTAAGTTCGAGGCCAGCCTGGTCTTGCAGTGAGTTCTAGGACAATCAGAGCCACGTAAGACGCTGCCCTGGGGTGGGGGTAGGGAGAACTATGCTTTATTTTTAGTCCGAATATTTGTGGCTTTGGTGTCTAAATGTATTAGCATGACTTTCTCAGCCCTAAATCTAAGCAATGTACCTCATAAAACCACTCTGCAATTCTATTTACGAAAGAATCTGGGTGTGCACGCATGGATGCATCCCAGACTGTTGTGCAAGAGCTCTACTAATGAGACAAATCTCTAACCCAAAAGGGAACTGTTACAATTTAAAGAAAAAAGAAAGTGAACCACCTTGCACTTTTTAATTGTTAATGACTTATTTTTTGAGCTTGGTTTATTCTTCAGTTTTTGTTGTAAACTACATCCTGTAAGCAATGTAACTCGGAGAGTCACAGAATCATGTCAGTGGCTGTCATGGAGACATCCAAGGGTATCCCCTCCCTAAATTCCTGTGGTTAAATCTGAAGTGCCTACTCCCCCTTGCCTCTATTTAATAAACTCAGCATTTTGCTCCAAACTGACAGATTCTAAAATTCTTTTCTGAGGCCTAGTCAAGGTCATCTTTACCAGAGTGCAGTTCCCCAGAGGAAACTTCCCCTGGCTGCTGGAAGCAGCGCTGGGCTACATCTTCCTGCCAGTGCTGAATGTTGCTTGTATTTTTAAAACTTTCTTCTTGTCTCTGAGTGAGGTGAAGAAGGTCTGAATCTCCTGGAACTAGATGTCAGACAGTTGTGAGCTATTATGTGGAATGGCAACCTGTCTGTCCAGCCCCAAGGTATTTATTTCATGACGTGTTACATGTAAGTATATCAGGATAACGAAAGGGGTGTTTAAATGTTTGTTATTAAAGAAAGCGTGTGGACTGGCAAATTCTATGAATAAACCCATGTAAGTAACTGATGATCAATCTGGGTCATTATTTTTCTCAGTTTGAAAAGATAGTTCTGGAGCTTCAAGCTATTTAAGAAATTATTATTCAAGCTATTTAAGAAATTCAAGCTATTAAAGAAATCGCTAAGCCACACACCGTTTTGGAGAAACTTCTCCATCCTCTGAGCTCCAGTGCAGTTTACATATGACAATAACAAAAAAAAAGTCACCTGCGACTCGATTATTTATGTTCAGTATTATCCAAACGCTGGGACTATCTCGGACAGGTTAGCTACACTGTCTGGCCACGTTAGCCTTTATTCATACACCGTAGCTCAAGACAAAAAGACTGTCACATCCACGGGTCCTTCCCATCCTTGAAAGCTCAAGGTACATCTTGGAACCAGCTGCCACAGTCCATCCCCATGCTACAACAGCTGCCTTGCAGGAAGGATGAAGTTTCGGCTGAAATTTCAGGAAGCGTAAAGGAAAACAATGATGTGGCTCAGCCATCTTGACACCATTTCCCCCTGGCCGCTGGCTGGGAATGTTCTCAGCTGACAGTGATGGATGGAAGAAAGAAGACTTGCGTCCCGTTGTGCAGTACCAAAATATCCTTGTTTCAAGATATCGCTTTTCATCATATTTAATAAACATTCCCCCCTCACACCAAAGACAGCACAGGAAAGCCTGGCAAATAAAAATAAGCTTTAGAAAAATCTACAAGCCTGGCCTATACATTGCTTTATTTAGAGAACACTTCTCAGACATTTTTTTTCCTTCCACCCACCGAAAGGAACTTGCATGATAAATGAGACTAAGCTTGGCAGGAAATCCATCAATAAGGTTAATTTAAAATGTGGGCAGAATAACTAATCTCCATATGGCCCTCGGGGTTGTTCTTATTTCAAAATCAATGACTTTCAAACAGCCCTACATGCCTCGCTGGGGGAACTGAGAAGGAATTCCAGCCACGTGGGTAAGCACACCCCCACTCTGAGGAGACAGCTGGTGGGAGGTCAGCTTTAGGGTCTCTCACAGCCAAAAGTGGCCTGTTCAAACTCCAGCTCCATCACTCACGTACTCCACAACTTCTGGTGAGACAAAAGACCCATAGCACAGCTCTGAGCTTCCTCATCAAGAGACAGCACACAGAGCAACAGAGTGACAAGTTGTGTGTGGTGGGCATGGTGGATACTTCAGAAGGCATGTCAGCTCCAAAATAATGACACAGAGAATTCTTATTAGTTAGGAAAGCTCGGCCTTAGCTTAGGCTTGTCCCGCTAGCTCTTGTAATTTACATCATCTCATTTATTTTAATCTATGTTCTGTTGAGTGGCTCGTTACCTTATCTCTCCATACCGCTCATGCGGCTTCCTCCACATCTGGTTGTTGACTCCACCCTCTTCCCAGAGTTCTCTCTCTGCCCAGAAGTCCCATCTATACCTCCTGCCAAGCTATTGGCCATTCAGCTTCTTATTACACCAATCACAGCAATACGTTTTCATACAGTGTACAAACATCCCACCACAAATCATATCTATATAGATTAGCATTCTATCTAGCGTTTAAAGGTTTTCTTTAAATACTGCACGTTGGTGACAGAGGTGGGGCAATACTTGATGAGGTCTCCCTGGAGACATTACTCACTTTGGAAGAGGAGATGGGGAGATAAAGCCTGGAGGAAATTGTGTGGTGGGTGGTGGTGCATGCCTTTAATCCCAGCACTCGGGAGGCAGAGGCAGGCAGATCTCTGTGAGTTCGAGGCCGGCCAGGCGGTGGTGGCACACGCCTTTAATCCCAGCACTCGGGAGGCAGAGACAGGTGGATCTCTGTGAATTCGAGGCCAGCCTGGTCTACAAGAGCTAGTTCCAGGACAGGCTCCAAAAACACAGAGACCACCACTGGCAGGAACCGATCATTTTTCTTTTATAAATAAAATGTCTGAACACGTTAGTATTCAAGAATTTAACAGTTTTTTTAATTGTACCATGTGGGAGATTTTACAAGAGGTGTCTATCACCCCACGTCTATGGATCCTTCTGGGATTCGTAGTTTTCATTGGCACTAAATGGTTTGATAATAGAAATATGATAAAGTCTTTACGAGATGAATCCAGGATTCTTAAGGCAGAGATTGAACGCTTAAAAACAATTGAGAATGACAACAATCTTCTCAAGAATCAGTTTGAAGTTCTCCAGGCTGATATTAAGGAGAAATTCATTACTATGGAAGAGGGAACAGCTGATTTGGATCGTAAGCTTCAGTCCCTTTCTGTAGGAAATGAAACATTAGTGGCTGATATTAAAGAGAAATTCATTACTATGGAAGAGGGAACAGCTGATTTGGATCGTAAGCTTCAGTCCCTTTCTGTAGGAAATGAAACATTAACTTTGAGAATCAAAACTGCTGAATGTGACAATCGGATTTTGTCTAAAGCTTATGACAGATTGACGGAAAGATTGTCAATACAAGAAGGCACGGTTTATGCCATAAAAATTATGTCCAAAGATGAGATGTTATCTCTAACAGACAAACTTCATACTTTAGAATCCTCAATGAAGGCTTTGGAACATAATTCTGGACAGGAGATTCAGACATTGCAGAAGGCAATGGTGAATAGAATTTGAAAAGATTGAGGAATTTCTAAATTCTGATGAAGAAGAGCAAAGGGTAGAAAGGCAAATTTTAACTACATCTGTGGGTAAATCTCTCCGGGACAATTTCCACAAAGCTCTACCTACAGCTCTACCTGCCTTTCCAGTAATAACAACAGAGAAGGTGATTGGTTCCAGAAACCCTAGGGTCATCAAGGAGGATACATGGGAGCCTGTCCGTATGAATGATCTCAAGGAAATAAAACAGGCTGTCATGACTTTTGGGATGCAAGCCTCTTTTGTTAAAGAGATGCTAAGATCTTGGGCCATGACAAGCAGAGCAACTCCCTCGGACTGGCTCCAGCTGAGCTCTGCAGTACTTGAGAGTGGACCACAATTGAAATGGAAATGCTTATTCAGGCAAGAGGCTAGACTCTTAGAACAGCAGGAAAAAGCGAAGGGAATTGACATTTCCCTAGATAAAATTCTAGGTGAAGGGCTCTTTTCCGACCCTCAGGAACAAGCTAATTTGGATGAAAACACTCTCTCCATGTGTACTACAGCAGCCTTAAGGGCTTGGGACAGGGTACAAGACCCAGGACAGAGAATGGAATCATTTGTCAGAGTTAAACAGGGTCAGAGAGAAACCTTTAGTGACTTTTTACAAAGATTAACAAAGGCTGTACAAATAGGGATATCTGACCCAGAAGCAAGACATATAATGATTGAGTCTTTGGCTTATGAAAATGCAAATGTGGAATGCAAAAGGATTTTGGGCCCTTTAAAGCTCAGATCAGCGCCTTTGGAAGAATGGGTCTTGCATACACTCAATGTTGATACATTTGATTATGGCACTGAAGCATGGGTAGAAGAAGCAATTTCCAATGGTAAAAGGAGACACCAGAATACCAAATGTTTTAATTGTGGCAAAACGGGTCACATGAAAAGGAATTGTAGACAACGATTTTCAGAAATAATAATAATAATGCATCTTCTAGAAATAACAGAAATAGGAGGACTCAGCCTTCAGGTTTATGTAGAAGATGTGGAAAAGGCAGACATTGGACGAATGAATGCAGGTCTACAAGAGATAGACAAGGCAACCTGATACAGACGGGACACGTGAGAGGGGGGGCCTCACAGGCCCCCATGGCAAACATGGTTTAGTCATTTCCAGTTTCTACAGAGAACGTGCCTCGTCAGGACAATTAGGAAGCCCCATGCCTACTGTTACAAGCAATAATGATCAGAAAGATAAGTTATGTGTGTTTTGGCAAACTTCTATAAATGATCAAAGACCTAAACTGAGAGTGTGTGTAAATGGCATTTTTATTACTGACCTGCTGGACACAGGTGCTGATATAAGTATCATTATCCCAGAATCTTGGCATCCGTATTGGCCTCTTCAGAATGTAAATGTTCAGCTCCTGGGAATTGGAACCCTATCTCAACTAGGGCAGAGCATGAGATGGGTTGAATGTATAGGGCAAGAGGGACAAATAGGAAAATTAAGGCCATATGTAGCCAATATCGCAATGAATTTATGGGGCCGTGACCTATTACAACAATGGAATACCGAAATTAACATTCCTGCTACTTCTAGAGCCTATATTTCTGAGAATAATATTAAAAGATATAACAACGGAGAAAACCGGCCATTCGGGCTGTACAAGAACAAGCAATTGATGTCCCTTCAGAGATACTAACAGCCTTGCCTCTAAAATGGTTGACTGAGAAACCAATATGGACAAAGCAATGGCCTTTAACTGAGGAAAAGTTACAGGCTTTAGAACAGCTAGTACAAGAACAATTAGATGCTGGACATATAGAAGAATCTACCAGCCCTTGGAATTCTCCTGTATTTGTGGTTAAGAAAAAAATCAGGTAAATGGAGAATGGTGACAGATCTCAGGGCCATCAACAAGGTTATTCAACCTATGGGCCCTCTGCAGTCTGGAATTCCTTTGCCCTCTTTATTACCAAAAGGATGGCCTCTCATAGTTATTGATTTAAAGGATTGTTTTTTCACTATACCTTTGCAAAAAGAAGATAGAGAAAAATTTGCCTTCACAGTGCCTACTTATAACAATTCTCAACCTTCGAGGAGGTACCACTGGACCGTTCTCCCCCAGGGTATGTTAAATAGCCCCTCCCTGTGCCAATATTTTGTGAACCAACCATTGCAAATAATACGCAAGAAATTTCCCAAATCTATAGTATACCATTACATGGACGACATTTTGTTATCCAATTCAAACATGGATACCTTGAACAGACTGTTTGAAGAAATAAAGATACTTTTACCTAAATGGGGATTGCAAATCGCTCCTGAAAAGATTCAGAAGGGAGATTCTGTTAATTATTTAGGTTATAAAATAGGTTTGCAAAAAATTAAGACACAAAAAGCACAAATTAGGAGAGATCGCCTACGGACTCTTAATGACTTTCAAAGACTGTTAGGAGACATTTCCAGTCTATGACCAGCTATTGGAATAACACCTGATCTAATAATTCATTTGAACAAAATCTTGGATGGTGATAAAGATTTAAACAGTCCCAGAGAATTAACAGCTGAAACAGAAAAGGAACTGACAATGATTGAGGAAAAATTACAACAGGCACATGAGGACAGGGTGACTCCAGAGCTCGATTGTATTCTCGTCATACTACCATCAAAAATTTCTCCTACAGGAATTTTAATGCAGAGAGATGATATTATTTTGGAATGGATCTTTTTACCACATAAACCAAGTAAGAAACTGAAAACTTATGTGGAGAAAGTCTCTGAGTTAATTATAAAAGGCAAGCTGAGACTTCGTCAACTAGCAGGCATAGACCCAGCAGAAATTATAGTGCCTTTCACTGCTGATGAACTAAAGAAATTATGGGAAGATAATGAACCATGGCAAAGAGCTTGTGCTAATTTTTTGGGAGACATTAACAACAACTATCCAAAAAGCAAGAGGCTTAACTTCATAAAGAGAACTTCTTGGATTCTTCCTCGAATCGTCCGTGATGCTCCAATAACTGGAGCCCATACATTCTATACTGATGCCAATAAATCAGGGAAAGCAGGTTACAAATCAGAAGACT